TCCGTCTGTGTTGTGAGGCTACTGAGGCATTTTTTTGCTGTTTGTCTGGCTGTAAATAGGTTTGTGCACCAGGTCCCTCAGTAACATAGCTCACTATCAAGGTGACTGATTAAGACTGTCAGTGTCCACCAATACTTCTAATTACAAACCTTCCCCAGCTCCAGATGTGAAAAAGATTAAACCTGACTATTTCTAATTCAAGTCGCGGTAAATATTCTACCCTACCTATCTGAGAGTAACTAATCCCATCCTAATCAGCTCCACTTGTCATATTTCCCGTTACAAGTTTTCGCCTTCTCTTCTGTCTCTGACTCCCAGAACTTCGGCGTTCACATGCTGAAGACGGTGCGCCTGCTACGCCTTTTACGCCTCCTGCAGAAGCTGGATCGTTACTCCCAGTACAGCGCTGTGGTCCTCACGCTGCTCATGTCCACCTTTGCACTGCTGGCCCACTGGATGGCCTGCGTGTGGTACTTCATTGGGCGCAGCGAGATCGAAAGTAATAGCCTCACCTCCTGGGATATAGGTTCGTGTCTATGTGTCTGTATTGTGGTTTCATTTAAAGATTTCCAGGGATTCATTTGATGGGAGGGGGGGGCAAAAGAGCAAAGAGACAGGGAGACAGACCCAATCAAAGATTGTGCGTGTCATTTTAAATGCTCCGAAGCAAAGCATGAAGATGCTCTTCTACGTGCAGCTTGTATGTGTGTCCTTTCACTGCGAAAACACTTCTAATTATGGTGATCTGTTTCCCCTCCTACTGCGCTCACCGGTGCCAAACAACAACAATACTGCGAGGTGCATGTGGTGCTGGTGCTTATCCTGTTTGAGCGATTTAACGCAACAAAGCGCAATGAGACAAAAGAGTAGAGAGGGAGGACGACGGTGAGCAGCGGTTAAAGATATATCGTTTTCTCTGATTTGTAGATGCACGTGGATGCAAATGTACACGTGGGGTGGGCTAAGGTGGAGAAGTGGGTCAGCCGTTTATCATAGGGTTGATAATTGAGCTTGCACAAATTGCTTCCAATGAGCAGGCTTGTTCTCCACTAGTCAGGCTTAATGAGAGTTGTGCACATGAGGTTTAAAAGCTCTCTTACCAGTTTATTTATGTAACACTACACAAGTCAGCTCCGGGTTTGCTACAATTCAGACAAAAAGCTGTGTTTTACTCTTGAAATTACAATATTCTGATAGAGACTCAGCAGGAAAGAAGACAAGGGAGCAGACAATAATGCACAAAAGTCTCTGTATTTTTGCTTCCAAGGAGACGGACGTTAGTGTTTTGTTTAAATTGGTCTTGAGCAATAGTTCTCCAGGGTTTCTGAAGGTCTTTCAGAGTCTTATTTGGCTGCTTTGTACAGTCCCTTTACTCATCCATCTTCTGATGGATAGGGATGATGTTGTGTCGACACATAACAGACAACTTAGCAAAGAACACATTTTAAATTGTATCTTTAGGCACTAAAGAACAGCCTGTTTTAGATCTAGTCATAGGTTTTTGTCCATTTTTGCATCTGTTTTGTGTTTTGACTGAAATG